GTTTATTGCATCAACTTTGCTACTGGTTAAAATTAGGCCTTGATTCAAGAATAGCACATATAGTTTTCATAAGAATTCTTGTGGAAAAATATAAAAAGATCTTGGGAGTAGTTTTTAAAGTTTGTCTCAAACCATATAAATTTTCATTAGGAGTTTGAAAATATCCAAATACTTTTATAGGAGAAACAATTTACATATTTGAAACTGGCTAAATTCTATAAATAATGAAGAATGGCTTTTTAAGTTTTTATGAATTATTAGTTCAATCTCTGTGATAGTTCATCACCCCACAGGAGCTTTGAGGACATGCTGGGACATGTGTATCTGTCTGTGAACATGTGTATGCAATTACAAATTTTATTGTAATTCTGTAAAATATTAGAAACTCACCTCAACCAAAACATACATTTAAAATAAATTTTTTTTGGTCTGCTTTGGAGAGCAGCAGGGCGGTTTGTAGAATAACAGGAAGAGAAAGTTATTATCTGTTCTAAACACCTGTTTCTTTCTCTTTTTTTTTTTTTTTTTTGAGGGTTTCCGAAGAACGTAATTGCTAGACTTTTACTCTTCTTAGGATGATAATTGTTCACCAAAATGATATTTTTGAAAAACGTCCTCATGGAGAATAGACCTTCTTAAACCTGCCTAAGCAGTCAGGTAGAAAGGGATTGATCCTCTTCTGCTGCAATTAATTCATTCTCTAAAGTCAACATACTACACAGAAATTGGACTTGTTAAAACAAAATTCTCTGAGAAACGCTGCTCACCCAGCTTCTTAGTGAAAACTCCTGGACAATAGAAGCTTGAGTGCAATCAGGAGCATTCACCCAGTTGAGATATTTAAAGCATAGTAATATTTGGAGTATTTTGTTCATTTAGAATTTTATGAAGATGACAGGATTAGGTAAGAATGACTGAATTCACAATGAGAATTCATATATGAATAACATAAACAATTTTTTAAATATTTGACCTAGCATAATCTATGCAGCAAAATACAAATGATAGTTGCATTATTCATTTCTAGTTCCTTCCTTGCTAGAAATTGCCAAAAGCCCTGACCAAGAAGTGACTGGGAGAATATCTTTCTTCTCGTTATTCTGAACCTCTCTTCTTTCGCTGATGCTCAGGTTTTACCGATGCTTTCTTTCCCAAATGTTTTCTCGCAATCTGTTCGTCTCATGCCACTCCTTACTGGGAATGGTTATCTTATGTCAGAGTCCTTTATTAATACTTCCAAACTTTAATTCTGCATCTGGAAATGTTCAAAGTTTACTTCAAGCCTGGAGTCGTATCAATTTTTCTCTTAAATATGTCTCAGAGGAGTTCATTTCCCCTGCTACCTGCACTGCCACTGTGATCCAGCCGCCCTCATCTGTAACCTATGACCTGTGAAGTAAAATAAAATCTTAAGGCTCCCGCCTACCAGCTGACTGAATGGACCCCCTCTTGGCCAACGGTGTATCCTAAAACTAAATTGCCTGTCACGAGGAGAGAGGTCAGACAAGTCTCATCATGCCCCCTCCCTTCTTGAAGACATCCTTATAACCCATTAACAGGCCTAAGTATATGCAAGACAAACCTGCAGGTCCTCAATTTACACAACAATTATGTCTGGTGGCTTATCTCTGATTAACAGACTTCCTTATCTTAAAACATTCCAAGCCTTTAGACAAAGCTTCATGTCTTTAACCAATTACAAGTGAAAGAATCTTCAAACCCACCTATAACCTGTAAGCGCCGCCCCCACCCCTTCAATATGGCCCACCTTTTCAGGCCAAACCAGTGTATGCATTCCACATATTGATTTATGACTTTACCTGTAATTCTTGTCTCCCTGAAATATATAAAACCAAACTGTAACCCAAACACAGCCCAGTCCACTGGCTCAAGGCTTCTTGGGCATGGCTCCGGGTCATGGTCCTCAAATTTGGCTCAGAATAAATCTCTTTAAAATTATTTTACGGTTTGGCTTCTTTTCTGTTGACAAAACTATAACTTATAACCTCGTCTGGAAGGCTGCCTTCGCCCCCTGACTTGCCCTAACTGGCGTCCCCACATTTCCCTAGCTCTCCTCTGCAACTCCCACCCACCCCGCCCTCCAATACGCACTTGTTTTCCACACAGGGGCCAACGTAATCACTTCCTGGGAAGCTATGACCACACCCAACACCACCACAACAATCCCCCTTCCCTCCCCTGCCACCCAGAGAAAAACAAAACAGCAATTCATTCAGATTCTCCTTGGCAATTCAGGCAATTTAATACCAGAAGGATGAATATTTTCATGATATTAAGTCTTCCCACCCAAGAATATAAAATATCTATTTATTCTTGTCTTTTCAGTAGCAGTTTTATTATTTTCTTCATGTAAGTTTTTACTTTTCTTATTTGATTTATTCATGGGTATTTCAGAGCTTTATTCATTACTGTAATATGTAAAACGAGATTTTTTATTTCAGTTTTTAGTTTTGTTATAGTATGGAGTGTGAGAAATGACCACTTAAAGACCAAATTGAGCCGAATTATGAGTCTTTATTAGCTGGCCAACGACCACCCCTGCCCTGTCAGAGTACAGGTACAGAGAATGGTGGGTAGCCGAAAAAGCAAGGGGGTCTTATACTATTCTAAGATGGGCTACATGACATGAGGTACGGGGAAGTGGGACAAAGACGGGAAGTGGGACAAATTACATCATACATTCCATAACCGTGGGGTCCGAGACCTGCCTCGGACCACCTACTCCGCTTAGGAGCGACTGATTATAATCTTTAAAGCAAGCAGGCATAGAGAAGCAGATAACATTAGTTAGGTTAAGGACCATGCTTTCTCCAGTTAAGCAAGCACAGTAAAACTTCAACCGTAGGCAAGACAGCTGGAAAGTTTAAACAAACAGTTATAAGAAACAATCAGTCTCAGCTTGATCACTTTGTTTTCCATCCTTAGCCACTAGGACAAAGTACGTGAGTACATTCTTCCCAAATGAAGCAACGGCGCTAAATTTTAACTTAGGACAGCCCCGAAGGCAGAATAGAGGCAATCTACTTTAAAGTCAGCGCGTGATTTCTTTGATTCTCTTGTCTAGTTAAGTGTTAACCCACAAATCTCAATATATTTCTAATCTAACATCATAACCTACTACATTTGTGGGGCCAATTCATTCCCCACTGGTTTTCTGGGTAATCAAATCTTTGCTTCTGTATTACAAATCATCTTCACAGATACGATGATAATGGGTGCAGAGCACCATTAATTTTACACTTTGGATACGTTTTTGCACATATGTCAAGAGGCAGTTGATTATACAAGGGCCAATTAATAATGCCAATAGGAATAGGATCAAAGGGCCAGCTACTGCAGACAGGAGAGTAGTTAGCCATGGGGACCATGTGAAAAGGTTTTTGTACCAGTTATTATCAGCATTTAATTGTTCTTCCCTTTCTCTTATTCTATTCCACACCTGGGAAAGCCTGTTCTGGATTACTCCTGAGTGATTAGCATAGAAACAGCAAGTTTCTCCTAAAGCGACACATAAGCCTCCCTGTTTTAAAACAAGTCCAACCCTCTCCTATTTTGTAGTACTACCTCAGCTAAGGAATCTACTGATTGTTCTAAGTAGCTAATAGACTTTTCTAAGTCACTTAAATCTAGATCCACTTGGTGGCTTAGCATCTTAAAGTTTTGGTTTCCAGTGATGAGGGCCGTGGTGCCCACAGCAGCAGAGCCTGCAATGCCTAGTCCTATTAATAAAGGCACCAAAACCGGGGTGGCTCTTCTTATACGCCAGGTAGTGGAAGCTTGCAGATGTTCTCTACCTCCCTCGCAAGAGTAGAAGTACACTTGTGGAACAACATGAGACAGAATACAAAGATCTTGTTTTTGTACAATTATAGAAGGCCTTACACATGGAGTGATTCCTGTAGCGCATGCAAACCACGTGCCATTTGGAGCCACCAATAGTGGTTCAGACTCAAGAGTCTGTACAGCTATTTATTTGGATAGTAGTATTACAGGATCCTGAGTAAGAGGACCAGGCTAAGGTAAAACCCCGTGGGTGGACGCAGGTCCCTTGCCCTTGCAGGTCCTCTAACGTCAACTTGGGCTTTTGGCCCCACCTGCACAAATGCTGTTTATGTGCATCTTTGGTAGTCATATTTTTAATATAATTTTCTCCTTGGCCAAGGGGCCGATTGGCCCCAATGCCAACATAAAAAGGGAGCTCAGGTTTTAAGCAAAGCCAACAATGCTTAGTTATATTAGGCTTAGTTTGATTAATAAAATTATAAACAGAATTTAGTAGGTTAAGCAAAGGCTGTCTGCGGGGATCTGGCAGTAAGTCCTGCACAGGGGTGGTTAGCATCGTCGGGGGGCATGATGGAGATGGCAATACTGGCCCCAGATATATCTCTTGGTTCGGACCTATAGGATTGAGCTGCCAAACTGGGGTGAATCTTTGTATAGTAAAATGGATTACTGGATCATTAGAGCCCCCTGTCGTGACATACAATCTAAAGCCCCAAGTTTTCCCCGACGCCCAGGCCTGATTTTGCCATTGCTTAGTATTTATGGTCACAGGGTTACAAGTTCTAAGAGAGTTACAAGTGGGGGTTCTCCGTACCAGTAAAATATCAGGATCATTGTTTTCCTAAGAGGCCATAGTTACGCAACTCCACTTCGCACAGTGGTAGTGCCCCTCTGCCTGACAGTGTGGAGGGCCTGCAGCAGGGCAAGCACAGGACTGAGAGTCCTGCAGGCCTTTTTCCATATGGATGGATCCACATCCACATGCAGCTTCTAGCCTGCCCATTCAGGGATTCCCTGGTACGGAGCCTCCCCCACCACAGGTTTATTGTATTTTTCTCTTAAAAGGAGGCACAGGTCAAAATGGAGAAGAGGTGGAAATAAAGTTGAATTTTGAGTTACCACAGTGCCATCTACAGTTCGTGTGAGCACCTAAGTGTAATTTACAGGATGATGGGGGCTTGCCCCGACTAGAACAATCAAAGTGCTCCAGAAGTGTGTTTTAAAAGTCTTATCTTTAACGGCTCCTCAGTGGGTTGAGCCGGAGTCGCCTTCTTGATCTGGGTACGGTGAATCCAGTGGCGCTTTCCTGCGACTTTCACGGCTGTTGGGGTGGTGAGGATCACCGGCAGAGGTCCAGTCCACTTGGTCTCTAAAGTAGCCGGTTGAAGCTTCTTTATCCAGATGAGATCTCCAGGCTGCACCTGGAATGAAGCTTTGTCAGAGGGAGGGTTAGTAGGTCTAGGGTGAGCAGCCCTTACTAAATCTTGAGTTCGTTGGGCACTGAACTGCAGAACCTGCAAGGACATAAGAAGGGAATGATTATTTAATTCTGTTACCTTGTCCTCCCCCAACTTAGGAACGAGTGGGGGAGGACAGCCAAACATGATTTCATATGGAGCTATTCCTTTCACATAAGGAGTACATCTAACTCTTAGCAACACAAAAGGAAGGAGACTCACCCAGTCTTCTCCTGTCTCTACTCTCAACTTACTTAATGTCTCTTTTAGAGTCCTATTCATCCTTTCCACCTGCCCTGAACTCTGAGGTCTATAAACACAATGTAATTTCCAATCAATCTGCAGCACCTAAGCCAGCAATTGAGTTGTCTTAGCGATGAATGCCGGGCCATTGTCGGACCCCAATACTAGTGGGAGGCCAAATCTGGGAACAATTTCAGTCACCAACTTCTTTACAACTATCTGCTGTCTCTGACTTCGTAGGAAATGCTTCTGCCCATCCAGAGAAAGTGTCAACGAACACAAGCAAGTAATAATAGCCGTATTTGCCTGGTTTTATTTCTGTAAAGTCTACCTCCCACTGTTCCCCCGGGGCTTGTCCCCTTAACCTGGTGGGGGGGGGAGGATTTGTCCCTTTACCTGAGTTGACTTGTGCACAGGCAAGACATTTTGTCATTACCTGTTGAACCATCCAATGCAGCCGAGGGATGTAATAGTCCTTCTGGAGAAGTTCTGTTAATTTCGTGCTGCCAATGTGGGTGCCTTGATGTACTTGCCTGATCAGGTCTCATCCCAGGTGTTCGGGAACTAAGATTCTATTGTCCGGGAGGATTTTCCAACCTCCCATAGTAGTTATAGTCTTTAAGTCTCCTCCTAATTTAACTTCTTCTTCAGTATAAGCCAGAGAATGCAGCAGGAGCCGCTCAGGCAAAACAGGGAGAATTTGGAGGGGCCCCACTGGATTTTGCGAGACTTCTTTAGCCATCGCATCAGCAAAAGCATTTCCTCTTGCCATCGGGGAGTCGGTGGTTTGGTGCCCCTTGCAGTGGATAATAGCCACCTTTTTCAGCAACCAGATGGCTTCTAATAGGGCCGGGATTTCAAGTTTATTTTTTATCTTCTTGCCTTTTGAGGTTAGAAGGCCTCGCTCCTGGTGGACCGCTCCATGTACGTGAGCTGTTGCAAATGCATATCTACTGTCTGTATAGATATTAACAGTTTTGTTAATATCTTAAGGCTTGGGTTAGGACTGTAAGTTCTGCTTTCTGGGCTGAGGTCCCATGTCCCAAAGCTTGTGCCCAGATAACCCGGTCAGTGGTGACCACAGCCGCCCCTGCATACCTGCCTCCTTCAGACATATAACTGCTTCCATCCTTGTACAGTTCTTCATCAGGGTTAGGCCATGGCTGATCAGTGAGATCTGCCCTCAGATTAGTCAGAGACTCCAATATTTCATGGCAGTTGTGCAGTGGTTCCTATGGCTCATCATCTGGAAGCAGAGTAGCAGGGTTGAGGGAAGCTGTCTTAAGAAGCGAATTCTGGGAGTGTCTAACAACAACACTTGATACTGGGTTATGCGTGAATTGGAAAGCCATCTTTCAGGCCGACTTCTCGGCAGAGCTTCTACTGAGTGAGGGGCGATTATACACAAGTCCTGCCCTAGAGTTAGCTTAGAGGCTTCTCAGGCCAAGACGGCTGTCGCCGCAATGGCCCACACACATCCTGGCCAACCAGAGGCTACCGGGTCCAGTCTTTTGGACAAGTACACAACCGGTCTGTTCCAGGGTCCCAGCTTTTGAGTTAGGACCCCTCTTGCTATTCCTCGGGCTTCAGCAACATATAGCTGGAAGGGCTTGGTCAGGTTAGGCAATGCCAGTGCCTAATCTGCTTGAGACTCTCGAAAGCACTAGACTCAGTCTCAGTCCAGACTAAAGCATCTCCTTTTCCCCCTGTACTGGCATACAAGGGTTTCACTATTTCGGCGAACTTGGGGATCCAGAGTATGCAATAACCCACGGCCCCCAGGAACTCACGTACCTGTCTCTTGGTTTGGGGCTGTGGGATCTTCAGGATAACCTCAATTCTACCCGTAGAGAGAGCTCTCTTCCCTCCCTTCAGCTCATAACCCAGATAGGTTGCCACTTGGGTGCACAATTGAGCTTTCTTTGCTGAAACTTGATACCCTAATTGAGCCAATTCTGTCAGTAAGTCCTCAGTGGCCCTTCTGCAAGTGGCTTGATCCTCCGTGGCTAGGAGGAGATCATCCACATATTGCAAGAGAGTCACTTGCGGATGCTCCTGTCTAAAGTGAACTAGATCTTGACTTAAAGCCTCATCAAACAAAGTGGGTGAGTTTTTGAAGCCTTGTGGCAGTCTAGTCCAGGTTAGCTGCCCCAATATCCTCCCTCAGGATCAGTCCATCCAAATGCAAAGATAGGTTGACTTACTGCGGACAAAGGGAGCGAGAAGAAGGCATTCTTTAAATCCAGCACCGTGTAGGTCTGATGGTTTGGGGGCAGCAAACTCAGGAGGGTGTATGGGTTAGGTACAGTCAGATGAATGGTCTCAATCCTTTTGTTTTCTTCTTGCAGGTCCTGCACTGGTCGGTAGTCGACAGTCCCCGGCTTTTGGACGGGGAGCAAAGGAGTATTCCAGGCTGACTGGCAAGGAACTAAAATACCCGCCTCCCGAAGTCTTTTGATATGGACAGCAATTCCCTTTCTCACTTTCGAACTGATGGGGTATTGTCGAACGTGAACAGGAGTGGTGGTGCTAGTTAATTGAACAATAATGGGAGACCTATGAGAGGCCAACCCAGGTAGGTTGGTCTCTGCCCACACACTGGGAATTTTATTCTGAAGTTCCCGTAAATACGGACTTAAGTCCGGGCATGGGGGAACTTCTTCCGCCAATAGGTACTCCTCTGCTAAGGGGCAGGTGAGGAGCATAAAGGAGGGGCCTTGGCCAAATGAAAGGTCAGCCGTGTCCTCCTGAAAGGTTATGATAGCCCGCAGTTTCCGAAGTAAGTCCCTTCCCAGGAGTGGATATGGACACTCAGGCATCACTAGGAACGAGTGGGTAATCGTCCCTGCACCCAGATCAGTTATTCTGGTCTTAGTCCATGGGTAAGCTTTAGTTTTACCTGTGGCTCCTTGTATTAAAACGTTTTCATCAGACACAGGCCACGCAGCCTTCTGCAGAACCGAATGCATTGCCCCTGTGTCTACCAGGAACTCTACTGGTTTGCCCCCAATATTTAATGTTACCTTGGGCTCCTGGGGGCTCATTAGAATGGAGCCCCGGCCCCGTCATTCTGTACTTTCCACAAGAATAGGGGTGGACTGGTTTTCACTTTGCAGCTGCAGCCTGTGTGGGCAATCTTTCTTCCAATGTCCATATCCTTTACAATAGGCACACTGACCCGATCCCAGGTCACTTCGTCCTTTCTTATGACCCTTCATCACATACTTTCTTTCCTGACTTACCCCTTCCTTTGGTTTCTGGGGCCCGCCCATAGCGGCCACCAGAATCTTAGCCATTTTCTTAGATGGCACAGTTCCGGGGTCCTCCCAGTTGTTGTAAATCTTCTGGGCAATCTCGACCAATTCAGACAGCAACTTCCTTTCAAACCCTTCTAACTTCTGGAACTTCCTTTTAATATCAAGGGCTGACTGAGTAGCAAAGGCAATATTAATAGCATGCCTATTCTCAGATGCTTCGGGATCTATGGGAGTATACAGGCGATAAGCTTCAAAAAGACGTTCTAAAAACACCGCCGGGGCCTCATTCGGCCCCTGCACTGTCTCGCTTACCTTGGATAAATTGGTCGGCTTTTTGGCTGCTGCCCATATACCCCGGAGCAGAGTCTGGTGATACTGATCGAGAGCCCCCCGACCTTCATTCTCATTTGCGTCCCAGTCCGGGCGCATAGAAGGAAACACATGCTCCACCCAAACAGGATCAGTAGTAGGCTGTCCGTCCGGGCCAGGGATCGTCTTGGTTGCTTCCCTCCGAATCCTCTCTCTCTCTTCAGAAGTGAAGAGAGCCTGTAGGAGCTGCTGGCATTCGTCCCAGGTTGGCTGGTGAGTAAAGAAAATTGTCTCCAGAAGAGATATTAGTCCCTGCGGTTTCTCAGAGAAAGAAGGGTTTTGGTTTTTCCAGTTATACAGGTCACTGGTCGAAAAGGAACATAGGTCATGAGTGGGGGACGGTCAAGTCCAGGCCCCATGGGAGCCTGTCTCAGAGGGAGGATAGGAACCTCAGATGAGGGGCTGGTAGCCAGCTGATATTGGGAGCCGCTACGAGTATGCGAAGGGCTAGCAGAACTGGTGGGGCTTTGAGGTTCGACATCTGATTCTTCCAAGTGTTCTGGAAAGAGTAGTGGCATGAGGAGGGGGACCCTCCAAGATGGGATCCTCCACAAGATCTGCTAGCACCGGATACGGCTTTCGTGTCGCCCGTTCCTGCTGGTTTTGCTGTTTTTGCTGTTTTGCTGTTTTCCGTTTCTGCTGGTTTTGATACCATAACTGCTTTGGGCTTCCGAACCAGCCTTTTACATTATTGTAACCACCTGGGATTATCTACTAATGTATCACTCCAAATTTGGATATAAGGAATTTGGTCCAGATGCCCTGGATTCCCAAAAACTACAGCCTGCACCCGGTTAGCTAAAGTAGCTTGGGTGCTTCCCTCCGGTGGCCACCCCACACCGAAGGTCGGCCATTCTCATTCACAAAATTTCTGTAAATCACAAGAGTTAACGGTAAAACCATATGGCCATGCTCATCGTTGGAAATCCTGAAAATTTTTCAAAAAACATTCAATAGGCATGCAATCAGGACAATTGGCCCGAGACGCTGACTGACCCATTTTCCTTTAGAGCAAAAACAGATTACAACTACACTTGGAGACGCACCCCAAGTCGTTGTAGATAGTACAGACGGGCTCTGCCGCGGCGGGTTAGTAACAACCTGTGTTGACAAGAAAAACAGGCAGTGGGGCAGATGCCAGGTAACCACTGTCGTGGCCCAGGATGTGGCTGGGTCAGGGTAGCTTCCCAAGCCCAATACCTTCCTCTTACATCTAAATCAGGATTTCCAGCTATTTCGACACTTTCTTCCTGGAATCCCATCAAATTTTATATAATAATGTGGACGATGACAAACGTACACAAAACACACAACACAACACATGCCAATCAATACATAACAAATGCGTAACACTCAGAAAGGAGCGAAACTGAATCAGAGGCTCTTGGGTGACGTCTCACCCCTTAGAGCCACAGACCCTGGGAATCGGCTGCGTCCAGCCTCCCACGGGTAATCGGAAGGACCCACAGAAAATCAGAAAAGAACTCACCAGTGGACAGAAACAGAAGACTCATCGTGCAGCTTTAGGCGCTTTTTAAGGTACTTGCAACTGGTACGTAGTCCGGCCTCCCCGGGGCTGAGGACAAAAGTTCTCCTCAGGAGCTCGCCCCAGGTTCAGGCACTCAGCCCCGGTCTCCAAGTACCAAGTGGCCATCAGGTGCCCCGGTAACAGAGCGAACTCGCTGTGGCCTCCAAATGTTAAAGTACAGAGTGCAAGAAAGACCACCTTGAGGCCGAATTGATCTGAATTATGAGTCTTTATTAGCTGGCCAGCGACCACCCTTGTCAGAGTACAGGTACAGAGAATGGTGGGTAGCTGAAAAAGCAAGGGACTCTTATACTATTCTAAGATGGGCTACATGACATGAGGTACGGGGAAGTGGGACAAAGACGGGAAGTGGAACAAATTACATCATACATTCTGTAGCAACCATCCCTGGGAAAAAATTGGCTTAAGCCCAGAGTCAGCGAAACTGGATGTGCTCTCCTTGGGGCCAGAGGACAATAGATCCAGACACGGCCTGTTGGACAAACAGAACTATTCCTCATGACGGACGGCTTTATGACAGATAACCAAGTGCCTAGGGTCTTGCAAACAAGCCAAGGCGACTCATTGTCCTGCATACGGTAATGAGATAAAGAAGTTAAGATGCAAGAAGTTAAGATGCAAACATCTGCTTCCATTGAGCAATCATCTGGGAGGAATGAAAATGTATTTTCCTCAAGGTGCCCAAGGTAGTCACATACCAGAAAGTAGCTGCCGGACATAGAAAAAGTATATAAATAAAACGACTGGTGGAATCGGCCACTGCAGTCTTGTACGTCTTGTTTGTGTCTGTGTGTTTCTTTCTGTGTCCATCCTCCATTCTGCAATCGGGCCACTACACATTCCATGACCGTGGGGTCCGGGACCTGCCTTGGACCACCTACTCCAGTTACCAGCGACTGATTATAATCTTTAAGCAAGCAGGCTTACAGAAGCAGATAGCATTAGTTAGGTTAAGGATCATGCTTTCTCCAATTAAGCAAGCACAGTAAAACTTCAATCGTAGGCAAGACAGCTGGAAAGTTTAAACAATCAGTTATAAGAAACAAGCAGTCTCAGCTTGATCACTTTGTTTTCCATCCTTAGCCACTAGTACAAAGCACATGAGTACATTCTTCCCAAATGAAGCAACGGTGCTAAATTTTGACTTAGGACAGCCCTGAAGGCAGAGCAGAGGCAATCTACTTTAAAGTCAGCATGTGGTTTCTTTGATTCTCTTGTCTAGTTAAGTGTTAATTCACAAATCTCAATATATTTCTAATCTAACATCATAACCTACTACATTGAGGGGTCCACTACAGTTTCTCCTTCTAAAAGGAAAACTGTTAACGTTTGCATAGTTATCTTGTATCTGCCATCTTATTATATTGTCTTTTTGGTGCTGATAGTTTTTTAAGGGCATTTCTTGGATTTTTTTTTAGGTAGGTAATCATCTAAAACTAGTAATTCTTTCCCAATATATATAACACATTTCATTTTTGTTTGATTGCAATAACTAGAATATACCAAACATTGCCAAATAATAATGACTAGCATTCACAACAATTCCCTGGCTTTAATGAGACTGTTTTTAGTATTAATATTTTAATGTGTGCTATTGACCTATGAAACAGCTTTTATCATTCTTTTTACTTTATCTCTAATTTTTATTTTATCGATTCTATTCATTTTTCCCCAATTTGTTAATTTCAGATATAGAGTTTTAATTTAAATAATTTCTTGAGTTTTCTTTTCTTTTCTTTTTTTTTTAACATCAATCTCCCACACTAATCCTTAGGCAGATAGGAACTCAGTCTGTATTGATCACTTGATATCCCTGCACCTAGAAAATTGCCTGACACATTATAGCCACGCCACGAACACTTGCTGAAATAGTGGATGAGTGTGTCTCAACAGCTTCCTAAGGGGTTGCTGCCACTTCCTTAACATTCAAGGAACATCTTCTAATGTCATTTTAATATATGTGCTTATATATGTGATATATGGACAACTACTTATGGTTTTGCTCATTGGTGCATAGCATTCTTTGGCAGAATTTGTGTTCTTTTGTTTTTAATCACTTTTTGTTGGTTTTTTTTTTTGAGACAGAGTCTCACTCTTTTCCCCGGGCTAGAGTGAGTGCCATGGCGTCAGCCTAGCTCACAGCAACCTCACACTCCTGGGCT